GACAATACACCAATGAGCGAGTTCCACGCTAGGAAGAGATGACAAACAATCAATAGGAARGTAACACGCAGAGGATGACGACACAGGGGACCAATGACCTATTGACACGTCAAGTGGCGTGATCCCTTGATCAATAAAAACAATCGATATGTCTTCTCAGCGATAACAGACGGCGTATTAATCATGCTAGCCAAGAGGTGCTGCTATCTAGTCTGAGGGGGGCAATTTTCGAACAACGTTCAAATAATGAGTACAACGGTTGATGCTAGTTTAAAACTGATTCAACAATATGTACAGCGTTCCTTTATTATGATTATGATAAATAAAACTTATATAAATACAAATAAATAATAACAATAAGATCTCTACGAGGTTACTTCTTGTCTCACGTAGTTACGACTCTCAAGTGCCACGGCCGGGCGACTTTAGCTTTGTCTGAGTGTCGAGCGGCCCCCCTAGCGAGTCGCCTTACAGTTTGGAATTATCCCCAAACTTACATATATATAATGATCTTTGGTCTTCTATTACTTAATTACTTAAGACTTAATTGAGTTTCTCTATAACAACAAAAGCTTTATTCATTTAAAATACTTAAACAATTACATCATATATTAACAAATAAATTATTAACCTATAACAACAAAAGAAACAACATTTAAAGCCTTTTATTTCTGTATAGTATCTTCTATTTTCCGGAGCGAAATATAATCTCCCTCCTTCAGAAGATATCTACCGACTTATATACTTACCTTTCAGGTGCCCGTCATGACTCTGATAAGCTTGTCGGTGACGCGGCATATATAAATTAACCCTTTGCACTCTGAACAATTTTGGACGTTGGCTAGCAGCTACTCAGCGTACCTTGACGGGAGAAACGTACATTTACAAGACTTCGTATTATTTATTATAATTTTAGAACTAAGTAACGTATTTTAATGATATTGGTCTTATATGAATTGATTGAGATCAAGGAATGTATTTTTGGAAAAAAATAAATATTTTATTGTTTATAATTTTTTACATTATGATAAATTTTGAAACACTCCCCAATATGCATTGCAGGCTGATTAGTGCATGTTTCACAATAGTAATTTGTTTGATGCCTGCCACCAGGTGTTTTCCTGTTAGAACACAAAATACAGTCTCGTTTTCTTTGTCCCACATTGGGAATATGTAACTTTTTGTCTAGTCTATTGTCCGCAGAAGATGTAGATGGACGCGTTCTCGATACACAAAAATCGCCCTTCAATTGGTCAATTAGTTTTTTGACATACTTGTGGTGCGTCATTGGTGTTTCATTTTTTGTTTATTTTGAGATACGATATAATATGTATGAGTTTATCACACACATTTCTAAACTCCAAAAAAATAACTTTCTCCATCATTTTAACGATTTACGGAGGAAAAAGTACGTCGAAGCGTATTTATCTGCACGATCCACACCACCCATATTTGCCGTATATCCTAACACCATTTTAGGTTTATTCACTATTACAACATCTCCACCGCGTAATATTCGGTGGGTAGATTGTAGTTGAGTGTTATAATAATTCGTGAGTATCGTAATAATTCTTTTATCTTTCCATGCAAGAAGCGTAGTATTATTTTTTCTGTATGCAACTGTTTTATTTGCTGAAAATTTTGGTTTCTTTATTTGTGTCGGTACGCCTTTTCGGTTGATTTTTATAGTGCCAGTATGATGACAATTCATATTTCGCAATTCTTCTGCTAAAAGGATGCTGGTATAGTACCTGTCGGTGAACATATGGTATTCTTTTGCATCAGGAACTCTGTCTAATAACTTCTTATATAAATGTAGCGGAATCCTTGTACTTACTGGAAGATCCGGCCGGGATATATTATCGGAAGTTATGCTGCCATAGTATAGAAGTATTGTAAATAAATATCCTGTTCTTGAGTCCGCCAGCGCATATATGCGTATACCTCACTTTGTTGGCTTGTTCGGATTATAGGTGATGAATGATATTCTGCCTTTGAATATTACAATCGATTCATCTGCAGCGACTGCTTGATACGGTATGAAATACTGTCTAAATTTGTTCGTTAATAAAAGACTTAGAGGAAGGCATAAGACATATTAATAGCACGAAAAGTGATAATACGAGTATAAAGGATGAGCAAAACAATGTAAGAGTTAGGGCTGTTAATATAATTTCGAATTATTATAAAAATAACCAAAGACCATGGAAGGATGAAGTAACAAAAAACTTTGTAACAACAAAACGTTTCCTAAAAGACAATCCGAATTTAATTATAATAAGATCGGACAAAGGGAACAACACAGTTATTATGAAGAAAGAAGAATATTTAAATGAAATGCATAAAATGTTACAAAATAAAGACA